GGGACCTGTTGAAGTCTCCATGAGACCTCAGGTAAAACAACGGATAACTCATTTTATCATGATTAAAATTAAGTTGCCTGCAGAACCTTTCTTTTTCTTTTTGGTGACTTTTTTTTTTTTTTTTCGTAATCGTAATTAGGACCTTAAGGTTCCCAGGTTTTAATGTGTGTGAAAGTCACTGAGAACGCCTTCTGCATTTATTTCAAAGATTTATCTTTCTATAGTAATTAATAATAAATAAATGTATAGTGTATAGTGGCAATGTGATCCATTGTGGCTATTGTGGTTTTAATCAGAGGCCAATGTTTATAATTACATTTTGTACAATTGATAATTGTACAAAATGTAATTTTGAAGATTTGGTCAACAATTGATTCATTTAAACTAGACTGTTATTATTATTTCCTCATTAATTTCATTGGCATTTTCATAAATTCCTAAATTGCAAATTTCTGGTTTATATTATGATGTCCTGCAACTTCATGCATTTACTGTCAGAACAGGTCATTGGACTTACTCCCACACATTTGCCACCATGGACTGTTTTTTCTGCAGTGCCACTCATCTCTTATTATGCTCTGCTGACAACAAATACAACACAAACACAAGCTTGTTGACAGAGGTCGCAGCTTCAGACATGCATGGATTTTTAATTTGCTTCTGAAGCAAATATCATATTCAAGGAGTGTTAGCTCGAGCAGAAACTTCCAACAAATCCAAACTAGCTTCCAGCTCATAAGGCTTTAGCCACTTTAGCTTTAATGCTACTTAGTGTTCAAGATACTTCAGTTTAAGTGGACCGTCAGTGACAGTATTTGTGCCCTATATCACTGTCTAACTGTTGTAACCATGATGATGAATGTTCCTTAACCTTAATCGGGCTATTTGTGCGTTTTACTTTTGCTATGTAGCCAATGTTAGCATTAACAGCTATTTACTTACCAGTCTACAAGAAATGTTGCAACTTCAGCATCAAACTTACAGCATATATTCCTCTACCCACCAAGAGCTGTCTCCAATGGTGGAAAGCAATGCCAACTATCAAGTCTTTTCTTCTACTGACGACTGACCGAATGAGTTCTGCCCTGAAGACGTAGCGCTGCTCTATCACCTCTTGTATTGTAAATGCAACAATGGCCGACGCTCGTCAGCGACAATCACTACCACCCCTTTAACAAAGTAGTAATTTTAACCCGAACCAAAAGGTTATTGTAAGCATATTTAAGTACTTATTTTAACGCAAACCATGATCTTTCCCTGAGCCCTAACTGAGTTGTTTTATGTGTGTAAATTTAACCAAACCATAGCCATGCTGTCACATCATCAAACTGATTTTGTTTTTCAACAGTCATTAGTAAGTGGCAAATGATGTTTTCCCGCCAGTAGGGGTGTGAAGTCAGAAAACACTTTGTCCACAACATGTGCTGTCCTTGAGAGAAGTTACAAACAACTCATAAAGATGTTTACTTTGGAGGATTTATGACATTTTTCATAACCACTAATCATGTCGTCATCCAGGGTTGTGGAGTCCATAGCCTAGGCAGGTCGCCAGTCTAAAGGGAACCATATATTCTTTAAATATTACATTTACTAACATACTACACTTTTATGATTTTTGTCTCTCTGTACAGTATTTATATGGCTGGGTGGGTAATGCTTGCCCACCTTGCTCACTTTTGATTGAGTCACACGTGGCGTCGGCACGATTGTGCTTCCTGTTTAACATGAAATCTGACAATAATGCAAAATCTTGAGAGGTTATCAGTAAATTCACTATCAGCTATAATAATGAACACACAGAAAGGATATTTTTTTGTTGCTGAGTGATAAAACTAAATTTACATTTAGATTGCACAGGTCTGAGCTCTATACATGCAATCTATGCAAGCTCATGCTCATGCTTGCAAATGTTGAGTTTCACCAGGATGTAAATGTGGCAACTCTGTTCATTTGTCTTCAATTTGATTTTCCCAAAAAGATAACACGTGAATGCAACGATAAAGTACTGACCTGATATTGGGAAAGACAGAACTAGATTGTTATCAAAATAAAGTAGACTTTTAATGACTATTGGTTTAATAACAGTGATTGTACTTTCAATTTCAAAGTCAGAAGATGATTATCTTAAGACCTGAGACCTGATGGTGTTTAAAATTCTGAGAATACTTTCAACAGATTGTATGATAAATGGAGGTGGGACAATGTTTGTTTTCAGAATGCCAAATTGTGCCGTCAGACTGCATGTAATATTGAAAAGTTAGCTGTGGGCGACCGGGGCTGCGCACTGATTTGCATCTAGAAAAGAGAGACCAAGTTTCAGTTTTTTGTGGGGTAAAGCTTGCAGACAGTTGCAAAGATCTGACATCACAAACTGTGATAAAGAGGACAAGATACACAGCACATTACAGGGTTAAATATGGTCCAGTGTTGTGACCTTTATTTGTTGAGGACCTGATTTATTCCACATTGCTGAGCTAGAGGAGTGTTGAATGAAAGAGCTGTGCCAGAGAATTGTCTTGCAGAAGATAACTTCTGTCTGGGATGGATTAGATTTGGAGCAGGAGGTGTTTTATTTTGGTACTAGACAACCTGTCTGATTCTACTGCATTTTAGATTTTGACTGTGCATTTTCTCGGCTGCATTTTCTTTTTCGTTTCCTGGAAAGTCAATATCAGGTCCTGAGATAACATTCTATATTTTTATCAGTTTGTATTGTGAAGGCGAGACTTCCAATGTGCCTTTTTCAATTATTGAAATAAAAATAAACATCACATATAGTTCATGGTCTCTGAAAGGATTTGCCTGGGAAATACTGAATGTATTTTATCCTTTGAATACCACAGTTTCTAAAAAGCAGTTTTAAGAAAGTAGCATGATGTGACCTGGCACTATAGATGCCCAGAAACCCTTGAAATCACATAATGATAGGACATTGATCTAGTGTGTTGATACAGCGGTGAGTCATTTAGACTATGCTTTGAGCTTCCTGTGAAGGCAGCATCATGTTGACTGAAGATAGATCCTGTCGGCACTATCAGCAGCTGAGATCAGCAACAAGGCTACAATCCGCCTCATCAGAGGGATTCTTTGCCAGAAATGTGCTCCTGATTGTCTGCCTGCCATTTTTTTTTTTTTTTTTTGCTCTGCATGGACGTGGGTCAACATGAGCTGCCCTCACCCTTACCTGCCCACTGCCCACTAAGGGTCCAATCAGCCCCCGGCCACATGCTAATACAATCAATTACCTAAGAGGTTAATGTGAGGTGAAATGCGAAGCTACCCAATTAGTTTGATTTCTTCTCCGTTGTAGTGTCAATAGCCTTTGGATAACACTGTGTGAGTGCAGCCACCCTGTGTTAATTAATGTTTTTCACTGAGTTGAGCTGACTCGGTTAAGACAGTTTTCATGGTGTCAGCTAAGTTTTCCTTGTGGAGAAAAAGAAATCTGAGTCTCTTCTCTACTTTATTACATACAAGCTTTCAGGCAAAAAAAACTGGAAAGTTATAAAGGGCAAACCACCAGAAGCCGAGTGACTAAAAGCTCAAATGTAATTGAATAGCCATGCAATAAAGCAGCAAAGCTATTTTCAAGTCAAGTGAGCAGTGCAGATATTTGAGCTTTCTAGTATTTCATACATTTGTCTTTTACCGTCTGTAGAGGAGCAATAGGTCAACACAAAGCAAACATAACACTGTGTATCTGCACAGGGTTGATAGGGTTACTGATCAATATATCAATAAACGATTTTGAGGATGATAACACGAGCAGGCAACCAGCATCAAATAATATTTCAGCTGTTAAAGGATAAAGCTGATGTCGTTCTATATTTAATTTCTCATTACTTCCTGACTTCTAAAAAAAAATAAGAGCTTCATTCTTGAGCCAAGTATTGCTAGTATTTTTTCTACTTTATTTTTCTACTGCATGATGATGTATGGTTGTATGAATACCTCTCTACTACCCCAGCCCTGCTCGTAGGTCTGCTTGTTGAACCTCTGCTGCTGTGAGCGACAGGAGGCTTTGCCAGAGACTCGTGTACAGACAAATAAGTTTTATTGATATTTGTGGCAGTTCCTGCAGGTTGCCAATAGAGTTTGATAAATGCCACAGATTACTCATAACCCCTGTAAATTGGCTTTCAGACACTTTTCTTTGATCACCTGTAATCTCCATCGTTGCACGTTGTATTTGCATTGCCTAATCAGCCCCTCCCACCAGCCACCTCCACCCCACCCCACCCCCACCCCCGTGCTGTAGCTCTCAGGACGTTTTTTTACCACTAAGCACTGAAGAATTGTGGAGTCTGACTTGAGTGTAGTGCAAAAACGAGGCGGCAGATTATTTTTATTGGCTGTGACATATTTTCTGTACTCACACATCATCAGCTGTGGGTTGCCAGCAGCTTTTCAACACCTTTTACATCAAGGACCATATTAGAAGAGTCTGTGAAGTTACTGTGTCATCCTTGAAGATGCATTGTATGCTTTTCCTTAGTTAACAGCAAAGTAACATAAACAGTGTCTCCGTCTTCCTTTGGTATCAGGAGTCTAAAGTGTTTGACTAATTGGTGCTTGCATGATATGGATTTCTGTTTTAAAAGCACATAAGAGTTTTCAAATGGCTTCATTGATCTGTACTAATCGTTGCAAGTGTAACTGCAGGATGTTTGTTAATTCTACACTTTGACTCAATTCACAGCCTGTGCAGTTATGTCATGTTTTATTTTGAAATGATCCATAACAAAACAATATGCTCTTCATTTTTTCCACTCTGAGGAGCATCATTATTCTGATTTCCAACAGTAAAGCAGAACTAAGGGTTAAGATGTTTCCTCTTCAGTCTATCTTGCTTCTGTTTTGTTATGTGATGAAGCGATTTACTCTTGAGGTTTCTAACAGTACACCAGACTGTGATTCTTGGAGTTACATCTGAAGGTACAAGGTTTATTGTTTCATGTTTTACCTCATTGTAATTTGAGCCCTGTTCATTTGTTTCCCAGGTCCATGGGGAAGGTGCATGGGCAGTGACTGTGGCCCGGGTGGCAGCCAAAGCCGGGCAGTGTGGTGTGCCCATGTGGAAGGCTGGACGACGCTTCACACCAACTGTGACCAGGGCCAGCGTCCGTCCAACCAGAGAAACTGTTTCCGTGTGTGTGACTGGCACAAGGACCTTTATGACTGGAAACTGGGTGCCTGGAACGAGTGCGTGCCAGTGTCGGCAAGGACCTTTGGGGCCTCGCGGCCGTTCACATGCAGTGGAGGCGAAGAGGGCATTCAGACCCGGGAGGTGGGCTGCATACTGAAGTCAGACGGCTCTCCAGCAGATGATGCCATCTGTGAGTACTTTGAGCCCAAGCCTCGCCTGGAACAGGCATGTTTGATCCCTTGCCCCCAGGATTGTGTGGTTTCCGAGTATTCACCATGGACATCCTGTTCCAAAACGTGCGGAACAGGCCTCAGGAACAGGGTCCGCAGCGTCCTGGTTCCTCCACTTTTTGGAGGCGCCGTCTGCCCCAACCTAACTGAGTTCCAGTCCTGTAAACCAGGGCCTTGCACAGGTCCAGAGGGCATGTACAGTCTCAGGGTTGGACCGTGGAGCCCTTGCGCTCTCCCGCAGACACGGACAGCACGTCAAGCCAAGCGCAGGAAAGGTAAAGGCCAGGGGCTCAGGGATCGAGCAGGAGTCAAAGATCCCGAGACCAGGGAGCTTATACAGAAGAAACGAACCAGGAACCGCCTTAACCGGCAAGAGAGCCCCTTCTGGGACATTCAGGTGGGCTACCAGACTCGGGATGTGACCTGCATACATAGGAATGGGAGCGCTGTGGGACGCAAGTGAGTGGCACTATTTTTATGTTAATGTGACATTAAAGTTAATATGTTTTGGGGTTCTTTTCTGCAGCACTATTATACTGTATGTCACTTTAATCTTCCTGCAAGGGCACTGATGAAAAATTCATCAAAAATACATCTTAAAAATAGAATGAACACATCGCTTGCATGATGTATCCATACAGTGTCTTTTTTCATATTTTCTTTTGTTTCACTAATTTACAAAGTATTCCTTGTATGTATTTCCATCCACCTGTTTAATGTTGTCATGTGTCTGTGTAGCTGTGATGTTGAGATGCACTGGTCCTTAAGTCAGTGGGTTTCTAACAGCTAAACATGATACCAAATTTGTTTTCCTCCAAGTTTTTCTTCTCCCTGTCAGGAGGTGACATGTAGTGGAGGATGTTTATCGGCTGTGTCTTTGTCACTGCCGTGCTGTCAGAGCAATGAGGCACAACTACCACAGTGTATTTGATGTCAACTTCCGAGGATGGAAGTGGCAAAGCAACTCATTTTTATGACATGAAATCAATCTCAGCCACAACTTTGTGTAGCACTTTTCAAAATAAGGCAGTTTTCTGGGGGGGTTTTTTTCCCTCTGGGTTTTGAATGGATGTGTAAAGAAGTGAACAAATCAAGGGTCACTCAAAATGGCACCTTGAAGTCAAATTGCTACAGTAAATATTCTTAACAGTAAAGGGAAGATTTGTTTACTGCATTTTAACCTTTTAAGGTTACAACTGCCAGATATGTTCAGTTCATATAAATATGTATATAAATATATATAAATAACAAGACAGATATTTTCTCACATACCAAGCCATACAGATACTGTAGTTTTAAGTGTCTAACATGTAGAGATGGAAGTGACGGATATTTAAAAATCAAAACTAGGAGTATGTGAAAAAATGTTTATGATTTAGGAGTCAAGTCTGTAAGCTAACGCTGCAAAGATTTCAGGTTAACACTAAGAGAAGGGTTGGATGGTGGGGTTCAGGTGGGTGGGGCGTGGGGTGTGGCTGAGAGCGGTGACTGGTTTGTTGTGACATCACAAAGTTCCAGAAGTCCTGACGGCTGGTTTTAAGGCTCAGTTTCTGAATACAGGCTGTGTGCATTTCTCTGTGGACTGAGGCTTTGATACTTTCACAGTATTAATACAGGACCTAGAGCTGATCTATAATCAAACAAGACTTAAAAATCTCACTTTATACAATATGGGACCTTTAACTAGTATCACAAAATGCAAAATTTTTAACTCCATCAAACAAAGAATTGCTTGAATATGTAATTGAATGGACACTACTATACAGAATACAATTTGTAACTGTATGAGTGCTACCATTTATAGTGTTGGTAAACCCAATTGGGATTTAACCTCTCGCCCTCTCTTTATTATTGCTGCGAGCTACAAAGTCACACTCTCTGACTGATAATAAGACAGATCAAATGGCTCTCAATTCCCACTCATTTCTCAGCAGAAGCCTCAGCCTGAAATGCACATCAAACGTTTACTCCCAAGAAATGAGTCTACCACCAGCCTGCAGAGAGGAAGGCACCATTAACGTAAAGCCTCGGATTTGGAGCTGGGATTTTGGTAAATACATGACAAGTCTGATTGTTCCACTCTAAGTGTCAGGCTGTGCCGACATCAGAAGTGTCTCCTGCAGAACCCGTCAAGCAAAAACATATTTTCACAGACTGGTTAATGTTATTGTCATTCATTATACTTAATTATCACATCTACATTTGCATCTCGGAGGATCAGGTTCAACATCAAAAAAGCCAAGTGTAAATGCAATCTAGAAGTGTTAGACTGACATGCAGGTGTGAATGCATCCATCTCTCCATGACACATCCTCAGTCATTCTCCTACTCGATATAACTGTGTCAGTAAACATGGAGGTAACTGCATGCAATTTATTTTTTGCACTTTTTATTTTGAAACATAACATCAGCACTAAAAATAAAAAAAAGATACAGTCTATTTCCAAACAGAAGTACCAAAACCCACCACACCCAAATACAGAGGGGTGAAACAAAATACAGGGGCGTTCTTAGAAGTAAAGCAAAAAAAGATTAAAAATAAGAGACAGTAAATAAGAGACAGTACAGAGACGGTACAAAATGCACAGGAAAACATCATCATCAACAGTGCGCTTCCTCCTCATCCTCTTATTTATAAAAAGAAATACACGTGCCCAAGTATTTTTCTGTCACACATCTGTCACACATCCTTCTTTCATACACAGAAAACTTCTCCTAACACTGTCACCCAGTCCTTAAAAGGAGGCTCTCCCTGTTTCTCCCAATTCCTGACAATGATTTGCCATCCAATTGTTACTGCTGTCTGGGTTCAGTCCTTCAGTGATTGTGGGAAAAGCAGGTAGCACTTTACAATCTCCTAACATATAAAGTTTTGGACCAAATAAAAATTGCATCACTATGACATTAAAAATATAACAGTGAATCTTCATTGACGGATTTTGGTGCGTGTCCAGAGTGTATGTACGAGCTCTACATTTCCAACAGGCTGCAGAATCCTTTAAACCAAGTCTGTAAATAAACCATCTGGCTTCCACTTGTAACTCTGAAAGATTTTGAATCGTATGAGCCTCACCCTGAAATCTTTTGACATTACACGGGAGTTGCTTCAGATTCTATCCCACTTCTGTTCATCAAATGAGACACCGAATCTCTTTCCCAAACAAATTTAAGAGCTGCAGATGTTTTTTTTTTCTTTTTTTTTCTTATGGTCCACGTGATGACTGCAGCTGAAATGACAATGGAATTGGACACAGGCCTTTTGTGTGTTTTATGTTACTCCATGGAGTACCATGGAGCTAAACAGATATTGCTGTTATATATTCTTCATATTCAGGCAGTTGCCAAACAACTTCAGCCTCAGCATCATCACCACCCTCTGGGCCAGAGGAGGGGCTGACTGACCCTAATTTGCACGAAGCCCAGGAAAACAAATGAAGGATGCAATCAGATTTGATGCCTGTAGTCAAGAATGTCTACAAAATGGACTCCTAAAGCAGGATTAGTGCTGTCAAAATAAGTCTCTTGATCCCTTTTTTAAAAAAAAAAAATATTTAGATACTTCTTAAAGGTATTTGTTTGTATTTGTATTTTCTATGTTTCTAATTGACAAACTGAATATTTCATCTGTGACCTGTTCGTTCTGAAACAAAAGAAAGTTTCATCACCTAAATATAAAAATGTATATTCTACCATCTGGTACAATTTTAAAAGTCAGTGTTTGTCAAAAATATTACAAATCCACAGCCGCTGTAGAGAGTTGTAAAGTTGTGGACGACCAGATTCAACAAAAAGTTATGTAACATTACGAGGTAATCAGTGAATTATAGTTGTCGTGACAACGTGTAGTGATGTTACTCGTAATAACCCTCTGATTTCTACATTAGATGAGTGTAAGATAGTAAGAAATTCTTCTAAAGAAATGTTTCCGTGGATGTCTCATCTCTGTTTCTGTTCCTCGACTGACGGTAAGTTAAAATGTCAGCGCCGCTCCCCTGAAACTTGGATTTGGGGCTTTCATAAGGTCTCTGATCTCCAGGAAAGAATCAGTGACAGTGTCAGTAGAGCAAGCCTCCATTCACATCACATATCTGTCACATGCCACTGTACTCTAAGATTTGATCAATTATGTACTAAATCTATTCATTAATGCTTTGTTGGCGCCAAGCTCTCAGCAGTGACTGGGATCAAATATTTCAAAGGAACCGTGAAAACAACTCACATGCCCTTAGGAGCATAAATATTAATCCTTGACTTGTTTATTTCTTGTTCTGAAATATTCATAGTTGTTTTTGCCACTTTCAGAAAAGTGGAACAAACTTCCCAGTGAAGCAATAACCCAGTCATATCCTAGCCAGACGCTCTCTGAACATCTTGCTCACTTCATTTCCAATTTTGTTTGATGAACATCTGTCACTGGGTTTTTACTTTCTCCACAGTCCCCCACTCGTCCCAAACAGGCCACGTACTTATAACTCAGTCTTGTTAACCAGCATGCATTATGACCTTTTTATTTATTTATTTTATTTTTTTTCGCCACTGAGGGGGGTGCATCATATTACATCATCGCGTTTAATCCTGACTTTTGTTTCTCGTCTCTTTTTTGGCCCAACTTCTCCTCTTAATATTTTTTGTCCTCCGTGGGCTTAAAGGCTTCTTTAATAATTTGACCCACATAGATTTATGTTTTTAGACCATCTCTGTAGCACATTTCTGTTTTGGAAGTAATGAGCATGCAAGTGTTGAAATATGAGGACTCTCTGACTGCCTGTATTTTTTCTGAAAGCCCTCGGAGTCCATTGTTGCAAGTCACTGTGTAAAACCTAAAGGCTTAAAAATGAACATTTTTTTTTTCAGACATCATCTCACTTATTTAAATAGAGAATGATTGTGTCCTCATTCTGTCTCAATGACTGAGATGAAGAAATAATGACTTCTTTTTGCAACTTTGAAATCTCCACAAAAATGCTCGTGCATGCACACAACAAACGGCGAAGACTCAAAGGGATCCAGTTTCAGCGAAAATGGGTCATTGGCTGCATTAGGGGCTTTTTAAAACACAAGAAGTTCCATCTGAGACAGGAAATCGAGCCATCACCCTCAGTGCCTCACAGTCAATGTTTAAATTCCTCATTGTTTTTCTCAGATGCAAAAAAGAAAAAAAGAAAAAAAGAGCCTGCACACAGAGCATGTTTGGCAGAAAAACAAAACTACAATTTTTCACAGTGTCGCTTCAGTAGCACTTCAAAGACTGCAGAGGTGTTTTAATCGCCATAGACGCAGGAGTTAAATAAAATAAAATTAAAAAAAACACACAGCTCATACATTTCCTCATTTATACCAAAAGTCTGAGTTGCTGGAGGTGAAGTGTGGTGGCAATGTCTAAATGAGAGTTTTCTAAATGAAGCAGAGCTGTAATTAGCACTAATAGCTCGTCAGCTGCATCGCCTCGAGGGGAAAGACATCCAGACTTAGTAGCAGAAAGCAGTCGGCTTTAGTTAGAACAAATTTCTAATGATTCAAAAGGGGCCCAAAGAGGACGGGGTATTCATTACATCTAAATGCTATTTAGATGATCAAAAGATGTGTGTGAACAATAGATCAGAGGTTGTTTTGGTTGTCTTCACACTTAAAACTGAAGGATGCCACACCACCCCTATTTTACCCTTAACGTAAAAGTGATTATGCAGCTCATATGCTAATGAGAGCAGCTAATGACAAAAATGTGGCACCAGTCAAGGGCAGAGAGTGAAGCTTTGCACGCCACTCGTTGTGTCACACATCTATTACTCCGACGCGTTCAGAGACCAGAAACTGTGGCTTTAAGGCATCTGGGCGCAGTGACATTAACACAGCCGTGAGAGTAACTGAAAGATTTAACTTCACTCTGTTTACCATAAACATGCTCTGTGACCAGTTAAAGCCCGAGGATAACAAAGGAATAAAAGGATCTGCCTTTGGAGAGTTTCCAGGCTTATTGGCGTATTTCATTCTCAAGCTTGGAATTGTCATTTAGTTGCTGTGAAACGATTGGTCAACCAATAAATAAGCCAATTGAGAGAAAATGAATCATCCAAAATATTGATAGACAATCACAGTTTTAATCGTTTAGCAAGAAAAAAAAATGGTTGTTTCAGCCTCTAAAAAAATCAGTTTTTCTTTGTTTTCTATCAGTGTAAATTTAAGAAATTATTTGACATTTTGAGAAATATGCTGAGATTGATTCCACTCTCATATCTATATGCTAAATATGAGGCTACAGCAACCAGCTGCTTAGCTTAGCAAGACTGGAACAAAGGAAATCAGCTTACCTGCATCTCCAAAGCTCACTAATTCAGTCAGTCAGTCAGTAATCAGTAATACAAACAATATAACACAAATGCAGAAGAAAAACAATAAAAACAATCCCCACCACCTCCATCCACACACAGAGCCATAAATGACTGAGTTATAAATAGAAACAATAAAAATAAGACAATAATAAGAGGAACTGAGGAATTAAAATGTTACATCTTGTTGTTGTTTAATCTGTTAAAATGTGGTTTTACTGCTGGACTATTTCTTCAATAAAAAGGTCTCGATTACAAGCGTGGGGAATCCTTCTCTTGTAGTACCGTCTGGATTCTGAGCAGAGGAATCCTCCCTTTCATCCAAGTTCAACCTCATAACCATACCTCCTCTTCCCCCTTCCCCCTCCCCTCCCTGTCGTCTCCCAGCCTCTGCACACTCAGGGACCTGCCTCTGACCGTCCAGTCCTGCGTCCTCCCCAAGGACTGCCAGGTGACCGACTGGGCCGAGTGGGGCCCTTGCTCCAAAACCTGCGTGGACCCCGAGTCTCCCAGAGGAAATCGCACTCGGAGCAGACAGGTACTCCAGTTTCCTGTGGGCGAGGGGGCGGATTGCGCGCCGCTGGAGGAGTCGGAGCCTTGTGAACCTCAGGGGGACGGTGTGCCACCCTGCGCCACGTGAGTTCCTTCTGATGATGATGGGGGGGAGGGGGGGGGCACAGCGGGGAGTGAGCTTTTTGAATTTGAGTAAAAGTATAGATGTGGGTTTCGTAGCTTAGCGCCCGACAGGGGCTCATGTTTCACAGGGATACAATTGCATGTTAAGTTGTGATAATACCTTCCTCCTTGGGTACCACATTGTCAAGACCTTGCTCCAGTACAAAACACACGGCAGGGGTTCGTTCTGTATTCCAGCAGAGCTCAGGCTCAGATACAGTAAAACCAAACTGCTTGGTATTCAACCTAACTGAGGCTGCACACGTTTCCTGTTGACTTCCCTTTACTCATATCACCAAGTTAATTTGCTCTCCTGGGTGGCCCATGGAGGTGTGTGTGTGTGTGTGTGTGTGTGTGTGTGTGTGTGTGCGCGCGTGTGGGTGTGTGTGTGTGCGCGCGTGTGGGTGCATGTGTGCGTGTGTGTGTGTGTGTGTAGGAGACAGCATATGGAGATAGATTAGTATAAGTGCTTGGGCTGGTGCCAGACACAAAGTAGAGACAAATGCAGGGAGACTGCACGGATATTTGAGTCCAACAAATTCTCTCACACAACATTCAGACCGCAGGCTCACAGATGGCCTTCACTCCCTCAGTTTCATCCTATATCATCTTTACACACCTACTACCAACAACCTATTCCCACTTTCATCCTAGAGTGTTTGATTTTCTGTCAGACTGGTTATTTTATTTATTATATATTTTTAGAAACTTCATAGATTTTGGTGTGTACTGACACTTATTACTGCGCAGCCACTTTACGGGATGAGCCTCTAGATTGTGATTATTATTCAAATATTCACCTTTATAAACAAAAATCTTACATCACTATTCTTCTGTTGGGTAAATAAATGGTTAAAGTGGTGAAGAAACTGTGTTACAGGCTGACCATGTGATGCTGAATGTACTTGCATATTATACATACTGCACCACAGTACCACATAACGTTATTAGAAAAACAGAGGGACTAAATTGGTTGTAGGTGTGCAACGCATCTTTATGTGCTAAAGTCAGTTCTGCAAGACTGTAAATATGCTGTTCAGTTCCATCCACACTGAACTCCGTCACACTCTCATCCACCCAACCCCTGCTGTTCCACGTTCTCTTTGTCTGCAGTTACACCTGGAGAACCACGGAGTGGAGCGACTGCCGGGTTGACTTGTTGCTAAGCCAACAGGACCGTCGACGTAGCAACCTGACGGGGCTTTGTGGAGGAGGCCTGCAGACCAGAGAAGTTTACTGTGTCCAGGCCAATGCGGAGCTTCTGAAATACCTCAACAGCCTCCGAGAAAAAGACAAAGGTAAAAAAAAAAAAAAAAAGTTGTAAATGTTGAATAGAATAAATAACCTTGCTTTTATTCATCATTTACACTTTGCATCCTCGGGAGTGAATTTGCATTGACTTAGTATGCAATTACACCACTTATAGTAGAACTTGGTTAGAGTTCATTCTGAACACGTTTAGTGGCACGATTAGTCTGCAGCACATGCACAGTGTTAAAGCCCTTGAAAACTTCCAGTATTTCTCTATATTGCTCAAGTTTTCAGGGACCTTAAAGGATAACAGTGACTGTAAGCCTTGGATTATTCTAACAATATGTTCTTCTACTTAATATATTGTCATATATGTATTATTTATGTTCATGGACACATTGTTATGTAGACCAGCAGCTTGTTGCTGCAAAGTACGTGATTGAGATGTTTTGAATGGGTCTTGAAGCCAGTCAAACTTCTGCCAAATCTAAAAGATAGTTTATCTTAATTTATCACAATATGCTCAGACTGCTTCAAAACGCTGCACTTCACTATGAAAATAACTCACTCACAATATTTCCTTCTAGGTTGTATTTTTCTTATTCCAGCCTCCGTTTCTGTGTCCACTGCTCTCTCCTGTATCCCTTCTGTCCTCTGTGATTTCTATATTATTATAAGAGTAGTAGTACTAAGGTTATTTCTGACACACAGGTCCATATCAGTATAAAAGTAAAATGCAGAACAATAACACACACACAAAAAAAAAAAAATCACAGTTCACACACCGCAGTGATCATAGCACATACAGAACCAAGAGGAGTATCTTGTGTCCCTTAGTGTGGGCTCAGTTAAGACCTCTATGATTACATTTCTGAGTCAATTAATCGACACATGAATCTATACATAAAAAATGTCAACACAGCATGAAAGGTGGAAACATTTGCTGTCACAAGCGTTTGACTCCATCTCGTAAGCTTGAGAAAAATGCTGAATTCATCGTTATCTGCCACCTGAAGCTTTTTCATAATGGGTGCAGCGTGTAAAAGAATTCCCTTTTTGTCAACTTGCACATTTTAGTCTTTAGTCGTCTTTGTTCCACACTGTAACTAAAGTCAACACCACAGCATCACACAGCCACGTCTGAAAAAAAATCAGTTTAATTCTCAAGTGTAACTCAAATAAATTTGATCAAGCGCTGTTACATGACGGCTTATATCCCCCCCCCACACACACACACACACAGCGTATACAGGAAGTCCCTCTGCAGTCCCTCTATGGATTTGTAGCAGATAATTGCACATCAAATGCTGACATAAGCCCACATGTTGTCTCAATTCATATACAGATATACAATGACATAAGATATTGCATCTGCATTCATAGTCATTGTAGTATTTATTTTAATATCCCCCATTGTCTGAGTCATGTGTTCTGTCTGAACATTTAAACAGCACATCTGCTCCTTTTGAACCAAATCAGGAGTCATTTAGAACAGGGATTTGTCCGCTCGTGTGTCCTGCTGTGACTTGCCAGTGGCCACAGGAGCAAAGGCCTCCGTTTCTGACACTTGTCAAACCAGCTTAGAGTCAAAGCTGCCCTCTTAAAGAGGGTGTTAAAGACATTAGTTGAGACTAAGCTTATGGAGACCAACTGTGTTGATCGCGTGAGAGAGTGACAAAGTCTGAGAGGAGGTGAGATGCCAGTCGACAATTTTGCCAAATGTAGAGAGATGCTCCTCTTTGTTTTGACACAGCCATCGCTTGTAATAATAATAATCATTTTTTTATATAATACGTTTCAAAAACAAAGCTACAAAGTGCTTTACAGTGATGCAAGCAATAAGTTAGTAAAGTAAGTAAAGTAAGTAAGTAAATAAAGTGAAGAAATTATAAAATGACAGAAAACGATAATTAAATCAGTGACATCTTTTACCGCCATTTATTTAAGTCATCTGTTTAATAAGGGATTACATAAACTGAGGTAGCCGAGCAACTAACCTAATGTTTGTCAAGCCAAGTAATAAAATATGTTAATTAAAGAGTCAAGGAGTTATCGCTGTAAGTAAACTTACAACAGTCCTTATAGCTGTATTCAGCTCTATGGGTTTGTCCATGTTTGTGCTCATTTTTCTGTCGCAATGTTTCTGCTTCTGGCACCTGAGGGTGACGTTACTGTTCTTAATCTTAATTACAAAGCCCTCATTGGCTCGGTGGTGTTTCCAACCAGGGAAACAGCCATGAGAGCACACCAGCAGACCTAGTGGTGTCTGAGATGTAAATTCATAGGTCTGGAAACAGACTATAAAGCTAATGAAACACTCAACAGCAATGTTTTATATGATTTTTTTATTTTTTCCATCTGTGTTTATCTGGTTATTCATGATCCAGAGACGATAAAACACAACATCACGTCATGTGCATCAAAATTTTCTCCCTGAGAAAATAAGTATTAAATAAGTATTGTGAGATAGGTTTAATAAATTGTTTGTTTTTACTATTGTCACTAAGATTTTAGTACAAACCTATTCAGTAGTTAGTTTGAGACTAGCAAGTAGTTACTAAAAGCTGAGGAAGGATTTTATGCAAAAAATTTGGAATAACATATTCACGTATCCACCATCAATCAATGATGGACACGTTTAATTTTCTAGATTATTACACTTTATTCTTTTTAATATTTCTTGAAGGGTCATAATATTAATCTAAAACTATAATGTGAGATGTTGAATACATTTATAATGAATGACTTGTGAGGGAGGAGCTGGCAGGGCCTCTGCTAATCTAAAGCAATGTTTTTCTGGGTTTGAATTGATCGGCGGTCCCTTGCTTCTCTGAGTATCTGCCCTAATTAAAGAATAATGAGTCTGGTAGCAAAGATTAAATCCATCGACGGACAAAGTGTATTGTATAACATAAGGAAGAATGTATAATGTATAGCCTGTGAGACTGTATGTCTTTCCTCTGTCCGTCTCCTCCTGTCTCCCTTTAAGCTGAAGTGCTATACGGACTGTAGGGCGAGTGAGAGCACACGGTACACGTGGAGCGATCATACATGTTGAGGTGTAACCTCTGCTAGTATACAGTGAAAGATTCATATAAACAAGCATGTTGAAAGTGGTGTTGCCAGGGCTGGCTGTGCAGAAATGTGCGTGACTTGTGTGTGAGAGTGCATGAACACACACACACACACACACACACACATGCACACAAAGTTCTTATCTTCTTGGCGCAGGATTTCTTTTCCTTCCATTGGGGGGTAATCTCCCAGCATACCACTGAGACAGAGAGGCAGACAGTGGCTCAAGTGAAGTTTGCTGCAACCAGCGCTCTCTTTTCCCCCCCGTTCTCATGCATAAATATCACCATGCAAAAGGGAGGAGGATACCCTCAGGCCAAGATCTGGAATCAGCTTACCACCTCCTAAATCTTAACCTTAATCTTTATGGGGGAGTAGCTCCAATCTGACCCCAGATCTGTATCTATAGCATAAGTAACTTCATCTAGCATTTCCTCAGCTAATGCTGTGTAACTCGAGGCTTGGGTATGCTCAGCTGCTGCAGCATATGGATCCCTGAAGCACCACATCCAACCTGGTGGGAGTTGACATTTTGGTCACCTTTCCCAGTATCTGACCAGAAGATTTACTTAAAAGGTTGATTTCAATTCTTAACCACATGTTGTAAATAAAGGTTAGAACAATGTCTTTTGAGAACCAGAATCATCTGAAAGTGTGAGTGATTGGAGTGACATGGTCGGCCTAGCTTAGCATAAAGACTGGAAGAAAGGGGAAACAGCTAGCTTGGCTCTGTGCCTGCAAATATCTTTGCAAATCCCTGCAAATATCTTTGCAGGCATAAGTGCTTTATTGACACAATGTGTGTTGTTTGTGACATGAACAGAAATGTAAAAGCAGCAATTTGTGATTTTATGCTTCAGCTTTGTGCTCAAGCTTTTTCTTTTTCTTCTTTCCTGACCAGTTATTACATTTTGAAAAAAGACACAAAGATATCAAGAAATAATACACAGAGACACAATTAAGAGAAGGAATAAGAAATCTGAATCCCAGGGGAGTGATGCAGGCACAGCTCAATGCTAATACACTTCCTGCTAAAGAAGAAAAAAAAAGAAACAGGATAAATCTCCTGGTAGAAGAAAGCTGCTGGAACAGTTTATCCTTCCACCCAGCATTTTCTGTGCAGCATCTGCAGCTACAGTGAGGGGTTGCTACGGGAAATAATCCAGCACAGTAACAATGGATGACAACACTACAGTCACTGCACCTGCTAGTTCCAGCTCATAACACCTTTTAAAACCAGTAATTGTTGTTTTTACCTTTTTCAGTTTTTTGTGCAGGTGAAACGTTTTTATTGGTTAGCTTCAGATGTGTCAGTGAGCGTATTTTGGGAAGAGCTCAGGCTAGCTGTTTCTCCTGCCCCCAGTATTTATGCTAAGCTAGGCTAACCATGTCCTGACTGCAGCTCAGAGTGACGTTGATCTTTTCATCTCTCTCTTGGAAACACAGCAAATAAGCACATTTCCCCAAACGGTTCAATGCTTGGAAAGTCATAAAAGACAATGCAAAATCAAGACAATCAGCAGTTAATTAGCTGCCATGAAACAAAGATGTTAATTGTGTCAAAGACCCAAGATAAGTCTGTCGCTGTGAAGTTAAAAAGACTGTAATCAGATTTCTTTTGATCCCCCAATGCTAACATCTCCAACCTGATCAGATGACACGGTGACCAAAAGTCTGTGTGGCTTTTGTTCGTAAACCACGAGTCTGATTTGGCCATATCAAAATAAAAGAGTCACAAACAAAAATTATCTTGTACTATCGCTTAGACCAAAAAAAAAAAAAGAAGAAAAGACACAGACAGAAAGATTGAATCTTTCTTCTAAAGCATTTGATTGTAAACAGTCCCGGGTTTTCGAGGCCCAGCTCTCTGTGGCCTCTCCTGCTGTGGCTGTTGCATTAGTCTCTGCTAGTGTCTGATGTACAGCCCCCCCCCCCCAACACACACACACACACGCACACACACACTCTCCGTGTTTGTTTGGTAATGCCTCCGTCTCCCCTGTGTGTGCGTAGCTAATAGCGCTATCTCCCCCTGTAATTGCAGCGGGTCAGACCCAAAGACAGCAGAAGCCTAGTGTTCCCCCTCTCCTCTCCATCACCTTCCAGATTACAGGTAGGTGCTTTTAGTCACGCTGATAACGGAGCCCCAGCCCCTCCCCGTGCTATATGCCCCCCAGGTCCTTTTTTCTTTTTTCTTTTTTACCTCCACATCCCTCTTTATCCACTTCCTTTCTCACTATCAGTCTCCTCTGCTCTATCCTCCTCTCCCGTCCTCTATACCTCTCCTCTCTCATTTTTTCCTTTCCTCTCCACCCTTTTCTTTTCCTTTTTTCTCTTATCCTCTATTCTGTTTCCTAACCTCTACCCTTGTCTCCTCTCCTATCCTGTGTCCTCCTCTCCTCTTCTCCTGTTTCATCTCTCCTTGTTTCCTTTCCTCTCTTTGTTTCCTCTTGTTTTCCTCAGTACTTGTTTCCTCTCATGATCTCCTCCCCTTTTTTCTTCTCATCTTCTCTCCTAACCTATATCCTCTTTTTCTCTCCTATCCTCTGTCCTCCTCTCCTCTACTCTTGTTTTATCTCTCCTTGTCTCCTCTCTCCTCTCCCCATTTCTTTTCATCTTCTCTCCTAAACTCTACCCTTGTCTCCTGTCCTATCCTCCATCCTCCTCTCCTCTACCCTTGGTTTTTCTCTCATTGTTTCCTTTCCTCTCACCTTATTTCATCTCATCTCCTCACCTCTATCCTTATTTCCTCGTTTTCCCCCTTCCTTGTTTCCCCTCTCCTCTCCTCTCCTCTCCTCTCCTCTCCTCTGTAAACATTACAATGGACCACAAAGGAAAAAAAAGAAGACAAAATCATTCAATTATTGATTTTAACAACACATTTGTGAAGGCTCCCTCCACCACTGTGATACTGTAGATTTATGATGACATGTGTAGTGTACACAAAAATACAAATCTGTGTTTTCACCAAAGTAACACGCCCAGACGGCGGCTCCTCATTCAGAGTGTTCAGTGTTGTCGACCAAATCCAACAACGGGATAAGAAGCATTACAACAAAGTTATGTACTCTCCCACAAAAAGCCGGGCAGAAGAGGGGAAACTTTGAAGGGACTGTAAGAAAAACTTTGTTCCCTTCACAAACAGAATGTGGAAAGTGAGACGTGAGACATTTTCCACCGCTGCAGACAGTAAGCCGCACTCGCATGAGGGATTTTTTCCCCCCTCCGTTGTCAGTTCAGCACAATAGAAAAATGAACTCACTGGGGAACACTCTATAAAGTGGACTAATAGAGAAGAGGGATATAGAGAAGGTTATTTTTTTTTCTCTCTCTCTCTCTTTTTATCACACGGAGACTAAAACTGTGTTGGTCCTCAATGTTTTATTCACAAATGGATTGATGTTAAAAGATTGAAGTCAGTGTAGTTCCCCAATAAGACGTGGATTAACAGTGGCTCAGCAAACTCAGTATTTGACTTGCAGTGTATTTGTAAGAGGAATTAGACATTTTGCATTTCAAAAGCCCCACTTACCTTCCCCTGTACAGTTCTGAGGGAATTATGATTCAGCTCTCATGACTATGTGAGACTTTAAGCTCTTAGATGTCTTGTAGGAACAGTTGGAATACAGGAAATAAAGTGCCTCAGGTTGAACATGTGAAGAGATTTTTTTTCTTTTTTGTTTCTTTTTGTTTGAGTCACTAAATATCCACTATAGAAAAACATATTTGAAATTTATCTCTCAATACTTGAAAAGTGGAGATCACTCGATCCTCAGACTCTGTAGAGAGAAATCTTACAAATGTCTTGTACATGTGTATTTAACTTTCATGCCACCACTGATCTCTTCTTAAGACTTAAGGCCAGTTTTAACCAGGGAGAATTTCATTTTGTGCGGGAAAGATTATGTAAAACGCAGAGTGACAGAACCCACAACAGATGGTGCCAATTCAGTCACTGTCCTCTTGTAGCATCAAATTAAAATGAAGCAAAGTCTGCTTACACTAACAGGTGTTGTTGGAGGAACTGCAGTGTCATGAGTTGATTACAGAAGACTCGTCTTTTACAATATTTTGTGAAACTCGGCTCAAAATATCTGCTGTATCTTTGATATTCACTTCAGAGTTTAACTTTCATGCCAGCATTTTTTCAGTAGAGTTAATTTACTCTAATGGTCAGTAGCTCCCATTAAATTACAACATTAAATCTACAGACTATAACGTGTACTTTTAGTTAAAGAAGCTAATTGTAAGATTTGCTACTGCTACATAGCCAACATTAGCATTAATAGCTGGCAAGAAAACACGTTCGGCGGCAGAGAAAACTTACAAACAGCCGCTTTAAGCTCATCTTCTTTTAGGTCTTTTTCACTAAAATAAAATGTTTCCATTTTATTTATGTTTTTATACCGTTTTATACCAATTATTCCCTAACTTGGAATGTGTGTTTTAGGATGAAATCTGGTGGACATGTTTGCTCTGTATGTGTGTAGCTGTAAAGCAGCCGAGGCTCAGAAGTGTCAGTCAGAGTGTGGAGCTCCAGGCAGGGGGTTGAACCCGTCTGCTGAGCGAACAGGACTCTCTCTTATCACCGACGACGACCTGGAAGCACGGAGGTGGTGCACTGCTGGCCTGGTGGTTTGAAGGAATATTTCAACATTTTGGAAAATATTTGCTTTCTTGATGAGAAGATCAAAACCATTCTCATATCTCATCACTAAATATGAAGCGACGCTCAGCAGCCAGTCAGCTGAGGTTAGCATAAAGACTGGAAACTGGAAAAAAAACGGCTAGCAAGGCTGTTAATGTAAAGCTAAAAGAATCTGCACGCTGCCTCCAAAGCTGACTCATTAACATGTTCTCATCCTCTTGTCTCATCAAGACTTCGCTGCTCCCAGACTTCCTGTGAAATGACTTGTCATTTTAACACTTCACATTTTTTGTAGGCATTAAACAAATAAGATATAGCGTGTTAATCAGTCGGCTTTAAAGATGCTGGTAGGTGCATTTTTACACTTTGGACAGAGCCAGGCTAGCTGTTTCCCCTTGTTTCCAGTCTGCATGTGAAGCTAAGATTACATGTCAAACTCATTCCTTTAAGGCCCATGCCAATCGCTTCTTGGGATTCAGTCTAACAAGACGTTCTCTTCTCCATCTCTGTCCTCATATTTTGTCATACTTTGTCAATCTCCACTTTCTAGTATCAAATGAATACTAAAAAAAAAAACCCCTGCACACACAGCTGGAAGATACAGTAGGTTTACTTTGAAATGACACTGACACCAACATACATACAAAATGTGCATGCATAAATGCATCAAGTCAGTATCTTCAGAAACTCCACACATCAAATGTATTTATCACGCCACGGCTCAGCAGAGAAATGTGATCTGCACAGTTGTCACAGAGCTGTGCCTTTGCATGGCGATAGCATCTCTCCATTTTATTTTCGACAAAGTTCCTCAGTGGGAGGTCAGACAGACGCGCACTTACCAGTTGCATTATGGAAAGAGCTTTTTAAGTCCAGCGTGGCATGGAGAGGGAAAGTAGATGCCGAATCACACCTCATGGAATAATCTCCAGCCAAGACGTCGTCACCGTTCTCTCACACCTTCAGTGTTGTATTGTTGAATCCTCTCTCCTGTCTCCGGCGAGAGTCGGTGGGCAGGACTCCACGATGTTTTATGTTGCTAGCAAGGCGCTGCACAAGATAATCACTGCTAATTTATCATTCTGACATGCTAACAGGGAGGCGATAAACAAAACAAAGGGATAATAGTGTCTACTTCACAGACATGCTTTGTTTTGTTTTTTGTTTTTTTTCCACCGTGGCTCTCATCTGCTCTCTATAGGGATTTTAATACCAGGAACAAAAGTAAATAAGCATTCTGTGTCCCTTGTTCCTGCTGGTTGTGATGCTGGTAAAAATACCCCACATAAAGACGAACCGGGATAGGATCAAAGTAAAGCAGGTTCATTTTATCTGCTGCTCATTTTCTGTTTTCCTTTTCTTCGTCTGCGCAGCCTCCCGCCCGGTGGAGAACAGGCTGTGCGAGGGGCCGATCCCAAACAGGTCCCAGCTGTGCCACATCCCCTGTCCCATCGACTGTGAGGTGTCGCCTTGGGGTGCCTGGGGGCCCTGCACCTTTGAAAACTGCGATGATCAGGCTGGAAAGAAAGGTACAAAGACATACATGCAAATAGATCATCATGGTTTGAAGGTTTCATGTGCCACATTTTAAACGTGATTATGATTTTTCTGAGTTATTGTGTGACATTGCTTTAAAGGTCCCATATAGTATAAAAGTAGATGTCCATGTGTAGTGTGATTATAGATCAGGTCTAGCTTCTATATTAATACTGTGAAAGTATCAAAGCCTCAGTCCACAGAGAAATGCACACAGCCTGTATTCAGAAACTGAGCCTTAAAACGACCCGTCTGGACTTCTGTAACTTTGTGATGTCACAACAAAGCAGTCACCGCTCTCAACAATGCACCAGGCCCCGCCCACCTGGACCCACCATCCAACCTAGCAGGATTTGGTTTCTCTGAGTGTTTTTACCTGAAATCTGATATATTTTTATTCAGTCACTCAGAAAACAGTCAGCCAATCAGAAGAGAGGCTCAGAGCCTCCTTTCTTCTGATTGGCTCACTGACCTGTTGTTACTAGAGCTGTAGAAATGTAAAACTACATTGAGATGGTTTTTCATACTTAAAACCACTAATTTATCTTCTTATGGATATCAACACCGGGAAACCATGGGACCTTTAAGACAGTAACTGTCTCAGGCTAGTTGTAATGTTTGTCATTTTTTCAAATAAACTCACCCTCCCACCCCTGCTCATATTCACTTTCTTTTGTTACTTTATCAAGTAATTAGTCCATTCCTTCATCCTTCTAACACTGAGTTTTATTTTGTGATGAAAAAGCAGTGACCTCTCACTTTGTTCCTTTTTCTTTTTTCCAGAAATTATACCAATGTATTTAATTTAACGAGGAAATAACAAAGTAGATTATTATGCATATCTTATTTCAGTAACTTCCCGTGTGTGGTAAACAAAACAATTTTATAGTGTAGTAAATGCTGTTCATGCTCCATCCAGCACTTTATGTTGTTTTTTTTTAAGAGAGCAATATAATCAGTATGCAGTACCGGATAAACATTATTATTGAGTCTGAAAGCATTAATGAACCTTCATTCTTCATCATAGTTTTTATTACATGACATTATTATTTTTATACTAGCTATAACCTCACCATATATCGTCATGAATAGTTAATGATTGAATGTCTGTAGTCATAGCAGGTCATCTTGTTAAAAATACATAGGAAACATTTGTGTGGGTGGTGGTGCGGCCATGTTAGAATTACATTTTCAACATAAAATGTGCATCTGTTATAACAACATCTGGCAGTTCTTCAATCAGTGCATTCATAGTTTGGGAAAAATAAAATGTTTTTGCAAAATTACACATAAATCTAATGTGATATATTTGAAAAAGCCATTAGATGATCAACGTAGTGTTCACTGAAGCTTCAAAAACATGTCGTAGTCTGACTTCTGCATGACTTGGTTCATTGGTCACATGTGTATTGTAACTGTAAGAACTCACTGGAACAGTATGGGCGGGGTGAGATTCCTGGTCGCCTCGAGCTCGCCCCAATTTTTTCTCATATTCCCATTAGTATTAATGAGTTGTCTGAGCAAGTCAGCCATCAAACCCAACCAAGCTAATCATGACCATCTATCATCAGTGGTGGAAGGAATACTTAGATCATTTACCTCAGTAAAAGTATCAGTACCACAGTATAAAAAATCCTGGATCCAAATGTAACAGTACAGGAGTATTATCAAAGTGCTCTGTGACTGAACTATTATTATATGTCAGTATTAGCCTTTACTGATGTAGCTGGTTGAGACTGAACTTGATTCAACTACTTTATATACATTTAGTACAGTGATGCCCAACCTAAGGGTCTGCCCCCTCCAAAGGGTCACAAGATAAATCTGAAGGATTGTGAGATGATGGAAGGGCTGGAAAGGACAAAAAACTAATTTCTAGTATAGAAAATTATATTATTTTTTCGGATTCTCCTGTAATTTTTGATTTTGTTATGAAATACTAGATTTTACCTATTTGGACAGTTATTTAAATGAAACGCTGTGAGACGTTTAGTGGGGAAAATGTCTCGTTGGTGTAACCGCTATGTACATGTACATGACAAAGGGCCCCAACTAGACACAGTTTTGTTTTTTGTTTTATTGGTAATTTTGTCACAAGTCAAAAAGGTTGTAGCGATGAATTATGAGTTTATCATATTTTCTTATGTAAAATTCAACAAAATCTGAATTTCAAAATCTTAATCTTAGAAGTAACTCAGTTGCTAAAGATGTCAAATAAAATATAGTGGAGTAAAAAGATTTATAGTGTAGTGGAGAGGAAGTGTAAGGTACCACATGTGTACTAATTTAAATGTTCTTAGTTCTTTTCCATCGCTGGCTATCGCACATATGAGGGAGAGTGTTCTGTAAATATACTGCTAATAGATTTGGTGTAATTCTCAATCAGGGCAGCTAAGCACTGTCTTTGCACTCTTTGCCATGCTGCAGGTTTTAAACTGAGGAAGCGGCAAATCACCAACGAGCCAACGGGAGGGCCTGGAAACTGCCCGCACCTGGTGGAAGCGGTGCCGTGTGACGAGCCCAGTTGTTACGACTGGCAACTGGTCAGCCTGGATCAGTGTGTTCCTGAAGACGAGAAGCCGTGTGGGCCCGGCAGTCAGCTCGCACAGGTCCAGTGTGTCAACAGCAACGGTGAGATGGGAGAATTCAGTCTCACTGTCCACGTAGATGATGAGATTTTACTGAAGCTGAATTTGCTGTCGATGATGCCTCGGCTGAGTGGTTAGTTTGTGAGCATTTTCTTTCTGTAGAGGCTGTACTTGTTGATTGACCTTATCGAGCAAACTCCGACTCTCCATTTACTCATCTAAAGAGTGTGTTGTGCTTTTGGTCCACCTCCGTTTGCATGGAAGTGCAGGTCTGACCTTGTGTGAAACATTCTATATTTTCAAAGTCACCTCTCCGCTGACCCCTCCAACTCTGGCTGTACAGCTCTGTACGTGAGGAGATTTCCATGGCTGGACTTCTGCTTTGCCATTCATCAACTTTGCGAGGAGTTCTCTCCTGACTCCATTTCCTCTCTCCCTCCCTCCCCTCCCCTCTCCTCTCCCCTCCCCTCCCTGTTAAACCTCTCCTACTTTAACGCTTGCTCGATTCAGCGTTGCCACCTCTCTCACGCTGTCTCTCTCATTACAGTCTTCCTCTCTCTGCACGCACAATTAAACCTTACTCACACTAAATCAAATCAATCCTCCGTGGGTCTTGGGGTATCTCGTGCCCTTTGCTGCTCCTTTTTACTGCTACTCTTTAGTACTGTAAATCTTTAATATGAGGGCCGGTGGTGCAGAGATGCTTTCCAGCCTTTCTTATTGCTTTCAGGTTAAGCACAGATGTTAGACAAAATAAGGCACGACACATTATTGATTTTAGTTCAGTTTCTCTTTCCTGGTAAGCTTTGGATTACATACCATGTTTATTCATCCAGCATGTAAAGTTAGACAGAGCTGCAGCACTAGGAATCTCATTCACTTCCTAATACACCCGGTAAATCTTCATTTTATGATCTGGTGCAATGACTGCGTTCGTGTTTTCGCCACTAGAGAACTTGATTTGTCCTTCTAATGTCGACCACAAATCACAGTTCATGCATCAGCTGCAGGTACTCGCTGAGGTTGGTCCGGTGGATACTCCCCCCCCCCTCCCCCCTCGTGCTGCAGGAGTAACACAAACTCCGCACTGTTCTTTCTCCCCCTTACTTCGGCTGATTGATCCCTCCCACGTTCACTCCCTCATCTGATGAAAATTGATTTGTTCTGTTTGGATTTTCAGCTCTCCTTTTTTTCGCCTCAGAGATTTTTCACTGCAATGTCGGCAGTATATTTTCTCCGAGTATGTCCCAGTCATAAAAGAAAAGGCCACACAGCCGGGCCCCAGACAACAGGCGAAGGTCGATACAAATGTTATTGAAACTGGCTATTGATATTCCCCGTACTGACTGCCTGCCCACTTAGGCAGAGAGCTGTTTCTTCTCTGCACACTGAGTGCGGAGGTGTTCCTCTCGTTGTGGGTGTTCTGTTCATTCATGTTTTCTGTGTGGGAGCCTAAAAACTGCGAGGTTTCCTTGTCACTTCTTATTTCCATGCCTTCTGAGTTCAGTCATGATTGGTTCACTGCATATCTGTCAAAGTGACATCTTAATGCAAAGTCAGGCCCGGTCTGACTTTTGAAGCTCAAGCGATTCTCCACTGCTTGAAATTTCGATTCAGCCATTGAAAGATTTACATTTTTCCTGAGTGTGTGCATCGCTTACAGAATAAGAATATTCTCTGCTTGGTTCATTGCAGCACACAAGGCAACATGGACTGAATATGTGGGTTAATATCATTCACATATAGCTGGTTCATGCAGCGCCATTAATAAAACATGAACAGTAGTGTAAAAAATGTGGGATTCCCATGTGGATTTGCTCTTTGCATGTTCAATGCCACTTCAGTATGAAGATAGGCCAGAGTCAAAAGTGCATCAGTATGAATATTCTACAGATAATCCATAAAAAAGGCTCATAATCAGCTGCCAACATCAATATGAGAAACACAAGTGAAACGTTTTAAATTATTTCTGTGGTGAAGTACAGCTTAGGTAAATCCAGGAAAATTGGATCAGCCCAGAAATGTCTTTGCTGTTGCTTTACAGATTCCTCGATTTAGTCTGTGATTAAACATTATTTGCAAATAAGGTTTCATCCAGTTTTAGTTATCGTTCCTCTGCTCTCATCAACGTCACAAGTTTTGATTACCTGAAGCAGCACAGAACATCTTCACAGCCCCGTGACTCTAAAGGACAAACAAGAAATAACATCCAATCTTTGTAATTCATCAATTTGTATTTGTATCCCCCATGAATCTTTAAATGAGATGCCACAGATCCTCCTTATGTTTGAAAACCTGGTCTGGTCTAGAACTGCTCTATGAAAAACAATGTCAAAAGAGGAGAAGGTCAAAAATTACCCAGATCCTTTACCCATTGTAAGTAAAAGCACCAATACAACTATGTAAAAATACTGAATTACAGATAATAGTCAAACATCATCCTCTGGGACTGAAAAATGAAGCCAACACGGAAGTGACAAAAACTGCACTTCCACAAATGGCCACTAGAGTCTGGCTCCAAAAACAAGTCAATCTACATAGACTCCCATGTTAAAATGTCCAACTTTACAGCAGAAATAAACATTTCTACAGCCTGGTACAAAAACAGTTTCAGTCTTTATAGCTAATTTCCTCCTTCATGACAACTGTACGCACAGGTACATTTTTATATAAATCACCTGATTACATTTTATTAAGGCTTAAAGTCATGTATAATTGAGGCTGCTTTGAGTGACAGGTGGATGAGCATATGCTTGCCACAAATGAGCATACACCGAATCCTTGGCTCCACACATGCCCCACGTCTTTGCCCATGTTTGTATTAGCTGGGAGTTAGGCGGAGTCAGGCACTGCCAAGATGGCAACAGTGGAGCAGCTCACTCTGAGCTTCAAAACCACACCTCAGACACCCGTGGGTGACGTCACGCAGGCCGCGTCCAGTTTTGTAATAGTCCTTTATTCACAATTACAAAAGTTTTATGTGCAAAATATACTTAAAGTATCAAATGTAAAAGTACTCACAATATTTCACTGTTGTAGCAGGTCAAAGTGGAACTACTTATAACTGTTCTTTATACAGTTAGGTCGTAATCCAGTGGTTGCCAACCTGGGGGTCAAGCCCCTCCTCAGGGTCACAGGTTAATCTGAGTAGTCATGAGATGATTAATAGGAGAGGAAAGAAGAAAAACAAAGATTTGCTGCAAAAAAAAAAAAATCTGTGACAGTAATGTTTGTCAAATAAATGTAAAGAACTGAAACGTACATTATTTTCCTGTGTAATTTAGTGGAGTAGACGTATAAAGCAGCATAAAATAGAAATGATCAAGTAGAGAACAAGTACACACTCAAGATGAATCACTGGTAGAATAAATCCAGCCTCCTCCGCACAGAATCCCCTCTACCTGCTGTTTATGAAACAGCATGCATCATGCATTTATTGTGTGTTTCAAATCTTCACCTCTTGTCTGCAGATTTCCTCCTAGTTTGTAAACCAGACACATGAGGTGAGCGAAGAATGCCAAGTCGATGCCTGTGCCAGTTTGGAGAATATCCCTCCCCAAGTTGTGTTGGGGAGAACAGACGTCTTAAGAAAACAAGCACGTCTCCGCAATTTGAAATGGGCTGTGTGCTTGACATTGTGCTATCAATTAAGACACACAGCTGTTCATTTTCTCCGCTGCTCCCGCCGTGTTTTTACTGAAGTGTAGTTTGAGGGAGATAATTTGATCCTTGCAATGAATCTTTGAGCCTTCAAATTTATTCTCATCGCCCAAGTAACTACCCAATGTATCCAAAATTAGCGAGTAAACTTTTATCACATAATCAGGAAAAAAATTAACCTGCACTCAAAAATATAATGGAGGGTATTTTTATTGACACCGATAAAATCAACCTGTTTCACATAGGGCTCATTTTCTCTCTCATTAAGCTAGCGGCACATTTAATGACCTCCCTCTTCAGAGTTTGTGGTTTAAAATTTATTCTTTGGTGATTTGCTATTTTCACAGATATATTAAGGACACAGTTGCACATTGTCACACACCCTAGGATTTAATTTGGGTAAATAGACCATCATCATAATGAGGAAAAGGTGATGCCTCAAATTTCAGCAGTTTACATTGTTGCTTGTTAATACAAGCAGGGTGATAAAGAGGCAATGATGTAGTAATACTAATGAGGATATCATGGTAATATTCATCCTTGATATAAAGGTTCTATGCTGTGAACGTTTTCACAGTATTAATGGGGTGATATCAGGACACTTCCTCATTTGGCAAATATTTCTTCTTTTCTGTTCATGTAATACAATCAAAATTCAATTTATAGGTAATTACCGATTTCTATTTCCTGGAAATGTCTTGTAATTGTGGTGGTTTAACATTGACATAGAACAAAGTTGCGTTGCATCTGGCTCAGAAATATAAGAATACTATAATTATAATAAGTTAATACAGTTGGACGCGGTGAATTAAATTGGAAATTGCACATTCTGAATAAATTACACATCTGAATGCATCTAAAATTTAAAAAACAGTGTGTGTGTGTGTGTGTGTGTGTGTGTGTGTCTGTGTGTGTGTGTGTGTGGACTCTGACGGTTTTACCCCAGTTCCCCAAGATTCTACACTAATATTACCCCATTATTACTGAGAGACTATTACCCTAATATATCCTTATTACTGTGAGCACATTAACACATTGTCAAGCTGTCATGTTTTCCCCATTGCCACCTTGTAACAAAAGTTAATCACCCCTCTGTCAACTTCTTATTACCAAGTTGTACCGAAGCTTCGGTCTTTGACCCTGTCGTATATTCTTCTCTTCCTCAGGAGAGGTGGTGGACAGAAACCTCTGCTCGTCCTCCCCGGCTCCGGAGCCCGTGCCATGTGAGGTGCCTTGCTCAAGAGACTGTGTGCTCAGCGACTGGACCCCGTGGTCCACGTGCTCTCAGACCTGCTCCAGTAAGACCATCGAGGGGAAGCAGATGAGGACCCGCTCCATTCTGGCTTACAACGCCGGGGAAGGTGAGTCTCCACCTGCCGACAGCCTTCCGCGCCATCACGTATGGAAATGTATGCAGATGAGGCCTGGATATTGGCTTAGTCATGGCCTTTCAAGTTGTCCTCTGCTGTCACTCACTGAATGTCTGGATTTCACACTTGTCTGCATGTGCATTTGTCCTTATCTCAAACAGTCTGCTTATCTGTCCTGGTGATTATTTCTGTTGGTCTGTCTCTTCGCCTGACACTCACTTTTTATCTGTTTCTAAGATCATTTCTTTGCATATGCTTGTTCTCTCTGGTTTGAATCTGTGTGTGTGTGTGTGTGTGTGTGTCTGCTTGTCTGTGCGTCTTTCTTTTTGTCATGTCACCAAACGTTTTCCTGTGTCTTATCTGGGTGTGTGTTTTCCTCTCAGTCACTGCGATGGTTGTAGCCTGGATCACAGTGATGGAGGGTAACATTCGTAATTAAAGTTTGCTGGTAGCTGTTTTAAACCTCTAGCTATGTGTCTACATGTGGCAAAATGAAAATCGTTAGCTTGTTGTGCGATCTAAAAACTATGTACATTATCATAACAGCTTTAGGGTAACTTATAATTGATTTAGTAGTTATTCATCCAGTCTAGTCAAGGCGTGTTGGCCATGTGTGAAATAGCTTGATTGTCTTAGCTGTTTTCTGTTGTTCTGCTGTAGTATTAGTGTATGTACTGCATATCTCACCTGTCACATTAACATATCTAACATCTGTGTTTATCAAAGGTCTTTCACGGGTGCCGAAGTTTCCAGAACTTTTTGGTAAATCTTTAGACCAGAGATATAATAGTTGTACTTGAAGTAACTTTAGAAAGGAGGAGAAATAGAAAAGAAAACTATATTCAAGTATGTTCCTATGTCTATTCAGTCACATTTTTATGAACACAGGTACTCAGTAACAATACCTGATAAGAAGCTTTGTCTCTCCACAACAGGTTTCCCCTGCAAACTAGATTATCTGATTAGATTTTGAGCTTCTTGGCAGATTCTGCAGCTGCTGTTTTGCATATTAATGAGGAAATAAAACTGTTTAAACTACAGGAACCCGAAGTTTTAAGATACAGGGTTCATATTAATATGCAACCAACAATATGCTGGCACAGAGTCGTGTGCCTTGCTAATTAATTCATTAATAAGCCTAATTAATGACCTATTTAGCATAGCTGCTTATATTGAACTGCATGGTGATTATGATGGGACTTTATGAAGCCCAAGTGCCTCTTACTATTTGACATTCATCATTTGAATCATATTCAAGATGCGTCCTAAGTGGCGTTTGCTCCAGCTCCAGTAAATTGTAAATCCGTTCTGCAAATGTGAATACGTTTAAATAACTTACACACGGAGTTTTGAAAGTAAAAACCAACTCAGTGACTCTGTTTCTTACTAACATTGGTTTGCTGGTTTTGTTTATTGCTCCATCATGTTTCTATCTAAGGCTGCGTCAGCTTTTCATACAGCCTTCTCAAGGTCATCGTTAGGCAGCTGCTCATGGTCATTTGAGGCACCATGTAATGCTAGTGTTGGGATGAGCGTCGCCCCTGCTGTTACTCAGCTAAGCTGGCACGATGCCGTCAGCAGAAAAGAAGTCATTCTCAGTAACCATTAGGTAGTCTGTGATTCAGGCCCAACTGTGTGCACACCGCCACTCATTACAGAGCTGGCTCTCTGTCAACTACGGCAGCGAAATACAGGTGCGAAGGACTCGCAGTCCTGCAATGCCTCTCAATCTTTGCTGAAAGCCCTAAGTGTCGGCAATTACTTTTAACCGGAGAGGGCTCTCTGAGTCCATCGACCCAACAACTGTCTGACTGACTGACTGCCGCCTCAGAAGACAAATGAGAGGGAGACGGACGTAAACGGGGGGGGGGGGTTGTAAAGGGGAATGAGAAAAACAATGGAGGTTGTACTCACAGAAGTAATGCACTGAGAGGTTGACCTATGACTTGCAGCTGGATTCAGCAAAAAAGGAGTATGAATAGTCTCCAGAAAACCAAGATGCCTGCATGAGAGGAGCTATTCATTCAGTGTGCGAACACACCTAAGTATATGTTTTACCAATATCTATAATAAGAACGTCCAACTCAGTTGCACACAATGTTAAATTAACTGAGGCTGGTCTGTGAAACAGAATTAGTGGCATAAACATTTGTTGATGAAAACACCTTAACAGACTATTTTGATAGAAAACAACACAATAGATTTATGCACTGATAATGCAAATGCAGGCTGTATTTGGAGTCAGCGACTTAAGATAAAAAGTCATTTCAGATAGACAAAGGGGAAAGTTATCTGTATTCAGACTGGTGCTTTTCAGGGGCTTAAATTGATTTCTTGGCAGCACCTGCAGAATATTGAAATCACACCCGTCCAACTCACACCTCCAAAGTTTCCCAGATTATCTTGAGTTGACGGTTTCTGGGAACAATCGTTTCCAATATGCCCTTCAAAACAAATACCAACCTTTAATGCTAAAGACACTGAGCAACAGGCAAAGAGGGCTGATGACGCCAACAATGAATACGTGAATGCGAAATATACTAAATACACTGAGCGTTAGTCAGTTATAATGATGATGATCAAATAAATAAAGAAGACGGCGCAGTGAAAAGAGAGCACGGTGACGTCTCGACTCTTTATCACAGTTCAGCACGTAAGATTGAGCAGCAGCCGCATACAAATCAATCAACCTGAGCCTCAGTGTGTAGCCTCAGGGAAACAAACTCTCACATCTCTCCTGAAACTTCACACCGGCTCCTTTATTGTTCATTTTCAAAGTTGTTTATTGCATCGCATTGTGCATAAGAATATATTCTTTAAGGTTTAATTCCTTGTGAAAATTGAGAACGTTTCACAACATTAAAATCTGGCTACGTCTTTTTATTTGGCTGCCATTGAACATAAGGTTGGAAAAAGTTTATGGTTAGCTCCCGCTTATGTAAATAAAATCCAGGTGTGCTTTGGCAAACAGCTACTATCATTTTGTTCCGTGCTGTCAAGTTACATATGCAGGTGAAAAGCTGCTGAAAGCGTCTCTTAAACAACAGGAAACTCTTACTATAAAGGTGCTTTTATGTGTGGGAGTGTAGGTTATACTCGGTAAGTTTCACAGATCCAGGAGTTTCAGGGAGAAAATAGGCTAACAGCAATTGTCAGACAGGTTGTGCTGGATTTAATAGAGCTTCTTACTGGAGGGAAAATGTGCTTAAGCCCCGAGTCTGAGAAGCATATAACCCAAGACGTATCACAACTCTGGCCTTGAGTTATGATATTTCTGAGGTACGATTATCAGTGTGAAAAAACGGCTTGGCTACACTAATTGCCTATCCAACATGGTCACAGCTGATGAAGCTATTTATATTTGTAGCTTCTGTAAATCACCCTGGTGTTTTGATCCTGTGCTGAAATGAATTGGTGAAATGAAATAAATTAGTCAGCTTGTGCTGCTGAGTTGTTCTTTTCACATTGTTCATTGCTGCTTGAGCATCTTTCTGCACCTAGTCGACTGGTGACGTGGCGACAGCGCAGTCCTCCTGAAACGGTGGCAGTAAAGCAGTATTAATTGTAGTAAACACTAACATTGACCTATTAACATTCATTCAATCTGTATTAAGCACACCACTCATGGGGGATCCATAGCAAGAAAACAAAGACAAAGACAAAGAGAGGAAGAAAAGAAACGAAACCCACATAACAGAATCAGATACCTACACAAACATCTATAGATCAGATTTTGTATCATTATATATCATGTCAATTGTTTAGTAAACAGTTAACTAGCTGACTAGTTATAACATTAGTATTTATTTTGACTGATGTCCAAGATTCAACCTCCTGTTAGCTCGGCTCGTCAGGGATCTTTAGCAGCTAAATGTTAAATTATGTGCTGCTAACTTTGCAACCTGCCGTTTGGGAAGGTAGTGTGAAGAAGGTTTATTAGAGCCTTTTAATGCTGAAAGCAGCTACATGAAACAAGGTTGATGAGAGCAGTGAGTGTGAACCAGACCAGCAAAGTTTTGGACCATAAACCAAAATAATGAGCTAAATGTGCTGAGTTGGTAATTCTCTGTGGGTCTGTCATGACGAGCGACTTAACTGTCATTGTATAAGTAAAAAAAGTGTTTGGTTTTTAGTTTTTATCCCGTACGTAAGAACAATTTTGACCCCCACTATGTTTTGGTTCTCAGGTGGCGCCCTGTGCCCCAACAGCAGCGCCCTTCAGGAGGTGCGGAACTGTAACGAACACGCCTGCACGGTTTACCACTGGCAGACTGGACCATGGGGCCCCTGTACTGAAGACCCCTCTTCTTCGTCCCTCAACTCCTCCAGCAGCAACGGTCAGGGCCCCTGCTCCATGGGAATGCAGACTCGCAAAGTCATCTGCGTGCGGGTCAACGTGGGACAGGTGCCTCCTAAGAAGTAAGCTATTTTTCACTTTTTTTTTTCTATCTGTTTTTCCATCTCGCTTATCCGTCTAACAGTCGTGCGTGTTTGCTTTTAACAGCTGTGTCTGTGCCATAAGGTTGCTTCATCCTGCAGCAGTCATATTTAGATGTGGTGGGTGTTTCCAGCCTCTGTGATTTGTAAGTGTGTATAACTGTGAAATCAGCTCCTGGAATATTGTGTTAGAGAGAAAATTGCTCACTTCTTAGAAGTAAAAATCCACTTGCTTTGAGCAGTAGTTCTCCATCATGTGTCATCAAGATCCAAGAGCAGGCGCGCTTTCATTTCAGACAAATCTCCAGAACAGCCGATTTCTACTGATTTGGACATTTTAATCCAAAATGGAGGAAACTAATCAGTGAAATCTAGAGGTGAGATCCGACAAACAGAAGACAAGGGGTGCTTCGGTTCCTTTTTGATGTGTGAAACAAGAAAAGCCCGTCTTCCACTGTCAGGTCAAACAGAGATCTGTGAGCATCTGTTAGGATGAGGAGGCGAACAGAGTAAACATTTCTAAGTATGTTTTTGAAAAGCCAGTGGTAAACTGTCCATGGTAAGACTGAATGGTACATGCAGATTTGTGTGTGTGTGTGTGTGTGTGTGTGTGTGTGTGTGTGTGATATTGAGAGTGAGCGAGATTTAAAAACAAAGGAAGAGTCAGGAAGTGAGAGACAGATGAGAGAAGCAGCAGTGGTGGGAAGCAAAGTGACAGCAGGAGAGTAAAGCAAGTCAGAGAAGAAGAAAAAAACAAAACAAGGAGACGCTGACAAAGCAGGATAAGTAAGCTGAGCAAACTCTACGTGAAGTTACCTCCCAATTCATATCTTCCCTGCGCAGGCGACCACAGATAAATAAATAATCTCTCCGTCCCTGTAAGCCTAATTAACCCTGCCATTTTGGGCTCTGGTAATTTCTCATTGATGATAATGACAGTAATTAAATGGGACTGATACTTTAAGGCAATTTAATCATGAGGCAGATGAGAGACAAGATGTTTGTGGTGAGCTCTGAAAGACCACACTGCTTGAGGCAGATTCAAAATACGCTGTCGAGTTTACTTTAACATCCGCCGGAAAGTTCAGCTCTGGTCTGGTGTCAATTATCCTCGACTGCTTCACTCCGTAACACAAGATAAAGGAGCGGATCTGCTTGTGTCATGTTCTGTGCAAACGACACCCAGAGTAGACGGATTTATTCCTCGCAAAAAAAAAGAAGGGGGCCTCTTAATGTATGTTCTCCTTCGTTGAATGTGTTCCTTTAGTCTCTCACATTAGACAAGAAAATTCTTCTTCCTCCTGTATCACACCCCCCACCCTCAGGCGTAGTTATCAGTGAGGAGAGGATGGGAACATAAATTATTTAAAGGGTCGGAGTGCGTTGTGTACAAGGCAAATGTGATTCACAGAGAACAGCACTGGATAAAATGAAGATTAATGTCCAGTTCAGTGGCGGCTGGTTCAGCAGCTGACCCAGACGCAGCAGCTGCACTTATCGAGTTGCAGAAGAGAGGTCGAAGTCCAGGATGTATTTTACTTTTTAAACAGAGCAGAGACAAACACAAGCTCAGCGGGCTGGAGAGCAGCAGCAGGTAGAGGCGAGAAAGAGGTTTCAGTCGATTCGACTCCATTATGTTTTGTTTTGGCGGGTCTATAACTATATATAACAAGGATAATATAAATATAACAATATAGTAAAGTATCATTTGTTATAAGGGCAAAAGAACAACATGTAACAGTATCACTAATGAGGAGTGAAAAGAAGAGTGGACTCCCATCAACACCTACTCACCCACTCAGCAGGTGGTCACTGTAATTCACCTGAGCTGAGTCGGACTGAGCTTTAGTGTAATGAAGGTCACACACTCGACTTAGAATATTCCAGGAGCTGTTTCCAACCTGTGTACCATTTAATAGGGAAATGTTTTTTTAGGTCACTTCTGTGATATGCAGTTACCACAGAATCTTTTTCTTTTGCTTGTAATGGATGAATCAGTGTGGCGCTGCTATGGTAACGGGGATCAAAACAGAGTCTGTTAGACCGAACAACACAAATAGTCGGACTATCAGACTGGCTGTAAATAAGTCCCTACTTTCCAAACCACTCATTTGAAGTGAAAACTGCACAGTATCAGCCAAGCTGTTCATTGTAAACATGTTGGGTTTTGAAGAGCTATTTCATGAATTACCCTTGAGCAGCTGCAAATTTGTTGTTTTTAGTGAAATATCTCAATAACTTTTGGATGGATTGCCTTCAAATTTTATTCATACATTCATGTCCCGGTTTGAATGAATTGTAATAAGTTTGGTAATTTTCATCTAGTCTAATGACCCCATACCTGCAGAAGTGGTGGAGCAGGTTAAGTTTGCGTCAGGAAGGGCATCCAGCTTAAAACCTCTGCCTAATCAATATGTGGACGGTGATCCGCTGTGTTGACCCCTTACAGGAGCAGCTGGAAGACAATGACCTGTAGAAGTAATGATATTCCAATAATCTGTACCTTGACTTTGGTGTTATTAGCAATGTTAGCATGCTAACACACTACACTAAGACTGTGAACATGGTTAACATTATACCCGATGGATAGCAGCATGCTACCATGCTTAAGTTAGCATTTAGCTCAAATTACACCATGCTTTATTCATCCTGATGAAGGCAAGATATCCAAAGACATCTGTAGAATAAAGCATGGTGTACTGGAGAAGACTTGTGCCAAGTGTTTTAATTTTAATGAATATTTTTAGTAGAACAACAACTCCTCTTAAAAATGCACTGTGTTTGAGGTGGAAAGCCTTTCAGAAGTCAGTCTTTCAGCATAACCTCTTGACATTACTAGTTTTAATCCATCCACAGGGATATATGAAAAAGTTGGTAGTGTCCTCAGGTTATACTGTCTGGAGTGGCAGAGAGGAAAATCTGTTGTATGCGGTTATCTTGGCATGTTGCTTCAGCGGTTTAAGGAGTGGGAGAATTGTTCTTGGATTTTCACTTGTAACGTTCGGGCAATCTTAAGCTCTTAATGACAGTTTGCTGAATGAGAGTCTAAGCTCTGATTTAGGGATGAACCCTCTACATTTGCACTGCCTTTCAGTCACACCATGCAACCACACTGTTGAATTGTGAGGTGACATTATAGATTGCAAATACCTGTTGTGCCCAGGGTTCAGCGGCTGAGCATTTGTCAGTTTCCCCCCCACCATCATTGGGAAGAGTTGTACAGCCGTATGGCCTGGGGGAGAAATCTAAGTCTGTCTGAGGAGCAGGGCTGGGACAGCAGTCTGCCGCTGAACAAACTCCTCTGCCTGGCGAATGTGGGAGTTGTCCAAGATGGACAGCAGTTTATCCAGGGCAGTTTATCACCTGGGAGTCCGGCTCCATGGCCACCACAGAGCCAGCCCTCCTCACAGACTGTAAAACGCAGTAGTTTCTTACAGACGTTGAAGGACCTCAGCCTCTTCAGGAAATAAAGACAGTCCTTATACGTCCTGACCCCTTCCACCTCCCTAGCTGAGAGCTGTGGACCTTAATAGACAAAACATAACTAAGTCAAATGATCCACAATGGTCTGGACTATAGAAAAAAAAAAGGTGGATCTGTCATCACAGCCTCAGTCTCCATCTGCCTGGAGGCAAAAGCAAAGACTGACAGATCCTGTGACTGCTGTCAAACAGGGGTCTCTCACAGACTGTGAGGCTTGTTTTCACCCGCCTTCATGGACCAGTGGTGCTGTCCATGGTGCTGAAGAAGCTGCTCTTATTCTGCCGCTGCCTGTATTCAACCTCAGCTATGCCTCAGTGTCTATTATTATATCCCTTTTGCAGCCACTCTGACTGTTGCAACCCTTCAAAGATGTTTGTTCAGAGTCCTGAGGTGGATTTTCATCAGGCCACAGTCACTGGCAGGGGCCCAGTAACTGGCTGTGAGTCTCTGGGTCTCTGGGTGTGCAATATTGCTTTTTTATTGTAGCTGTGAACACATAAAAGTGTTCTGGTTGTTGCTCAGAACTATCACACACACACACACACACAAACCCCTCATGGGGAAATTACTTTGACTCTTCAACTCGCAATGACAAATGTTGCCACCAAGATGGGTCCTATTAGGTTGATTGCCAATTAGCTCCATTTGTCTGCTATAAAAGAGGCCTGGCAATCAACCCTTTGATAAGTAAGTGTTCAAAGCAACATGAGACAGTTAACAGAGCTGGAAGAGGCCAAATCATCACAACATGCATGACAAAACAAAAACAAGTAAAACTTTTAATATGTTGACAGGAACAGTTTTGAAAATATAATGACAACATGCAATGAACACAATCTGCAATGAGTCAGATGTCAAAAGCTGATAGGAACAAAGGACTTACACAATATGAGTGTTGAAAATACATCTTATTGGTACCCAGTTTAATGAGACTGTCCTCCCAGTAAAGTGCACCTGTTGGGGAGGTTGGGGTGGATGTTCCTTCTGTTTAGACCAAATATGATTTGATTTTATGATTAATAACTGATGATTTAAATGATGCCTTTAACAACACCACAGTGCTGTCCTCTCAGCCCTCTCCAGGAGCTTTAGCAACTATTCGTTGTTACAGCAACCAGGAGCACTAACGGACCAAGTGACATCAGTCACCTTGATTATGACCCCGCAGAGGTCTTCCCACCAGTCAATCAGAAATGATTCAGCCTCTTGATCAGGAGGTGAAACGTCTTCAAGTATCTATAATCAAGTCCAGTTGCCCACGATTCACCTTGAATCAAGGTTAACTGGATGACTGAGAGTCTTCACAGGCTGAAATGATGCCGCTCTGACATTAAGGACGTGAAAACACTTCTATTTGTCGTTCTGGAGGGCTTAGATATTTTGTCATTTCATTTGAGGGAGCAGTTGGTGTAATAGGACTGGTAATATAGTTGTGCATAAACTGTAGTCTGTAGTAGTGTTTGTTTTGTCTCACCCTGTAAATTTGACAGACAGCACTG